GTGCTCATCTCCATTTCTAAGCCAAAGAGCTGGCGTTGTCCATAGACACCTCCAAGGTCATGTGGCTGGCATAATAATAATTTAAAAAATAATAGTATAACTTTATTTTTATACCCCACCAACCATCTCTCCTGGGGAGTCGGGGTGGCTTATAAGGCACCCGCCCAAGATTACAAGTAAAACACATATGTAAAAACATTTTAACCAATTAAAACATCAGATAAAACAAATAACAACACAATTGAAAGCAATATAAAAACAATACGGCTGAAAGAATGACTGCATGGAGTGTCGTTACCTTCCCGCCGGAGTGGTACCTATCAATCTACTCACATTTGCATGTTATCAAGGTTGGCAGAAGCTGGGCCTAATAGAAGGAGCTCACGCTGTCAATATGATGCCTGAATAAATGAACTCTCTTTGTATGTGTCCTGATAAACTCCTTTTGCAATGATAATGTGTTGTTGTTCATTCGTTCAGTCGTCTCCGACTCTTCGTGACCAGCCCACGCCAGAGCTCCCTGTCGGCCGTCACCACCCCCAGCTCCTAATGTAGTAGACCTGAATTGTTTAGTTGACCAATTACAAACAATTCCTTCTGAAAATATGCTGGTAAATAAGTTTTAGTCAATGACTTTTAACCACATCTGCCTAGGAAAAGCTTATGAAGTCTACAGGGGACTTGAAGACACAGAAACAACTCATTTGTAAATGCAACAGAAAAAAATTCAGACAGAAATTATGTTCTGTTCTGAAATTATGAATGGTGTGATAGCAGCACAATCAAAACCCGAAAAGGAAGGGAGAAAATCTTTCTAACTTTAGACATATCATTTATTCACATGCAGTAACAGGCATAGACACTGAGAACTGGGAAGCCCTGGCCTGTGAGCGCTCCAGCTGGAGGTCAGCTGTGACCAGTTCTTAGTAAAGGTTGTCCCCTGACATAAAGTCCAGTCATGTCTGACTCTGGGGTGTGGTGCTCATCTCCATTTCTAAGCTGAACAGCCGGCATTGTCCGTAGACACCTCCAAGGTCATGTGGCCAGCATGACTGCATGGAGCGCCCTTACCTTCCCGTCACGGCGGTACCTATTGATCTACTCACATTTGCATGTTTTCGAACTGCTAGGTTGGCAGAAGCTGGGGCTGACAGCGAAAGCTCACGCCGCTCCCTGGATTCGAACCTGTGACCTTTTGGTCAACGAGCTCAGCATCTCAGCACTTTAACCCACTGTGCCACAGGTTCTTATAAAAGCCAATAAAAACAAGAATTTGCAAACCC